GCTATTCGGGGGAGGCCGTTGCTAGTAGGTTGGAGGCCATCGCTATTCGGGGGAGGCCGTTGCTAGTAGGTTGGAGGCCATCGCTATTAGATTCTGTAGATCCGAATGGAATGAATTTGTCCACCGTCCCAATTCGTCCGTATCTCGTCGAGGAACCCCAAGCTTACACGAACGGAGCCCAATGGCATCTCCCAAAGCTCAGGACCGAAGGTCTGCTGCACCGGTTTGCCTCGTCGATTCTTTGTTGGAAAGGGTCGAAACGAGTCAGACATCTATCTATCTATCTACTATCTATCTATCTATCTATACTGTACTGTACTTGGAAAATGCCACGTTGAGGCTCTCCAAATCATTCAAAAAGTATAGTATAGTCTAGTATATAAGTATCACAGGCAGTCTTCTTCCCATTACCTTGCTCGATGAGCTTCCCTGTGTTGAGACGTCAAGTGCACCGATCTCAAAGACACAAAGGATGTTCTGACATATGTGTTGTGTATACTCTTCTTTGCATGAGGATCTATTTAATCCCCGAGACGCACGAAGCACTCAAAGGCCTGTGTGGAGTTCCGCGCCACAAGAACCGTCAAATACTTGTCGTACGGCAGTGGCAGAGCATGTCACCTCTTGCCCATTGAGCCAAGGATATTTCGTTCAGTGCGAAAGCTCCAAAGATATGGCGCAAATGTTGGGGAATCATATGAATATGAACACTAAGACACAAAATGGCACAAACAAACAGAAGCAGCAGGCTAGCCCAGGCCTAGCATGGCTAGTTGCTTCACCTGCACAGTGATCTCACAGCCTAAGCCCCTCGCAAAAGCAGGCCCAAAGCCGCACCCCTGCGTTGTAGGGTCCTTCAATCAAAGTCTTCCCTTCTGGTTCCACTCAAATTGTCATTCCGTGGTCCTCAGCCAATTGAGCTATGGCTTCTGGTGGAAGTCCCAGCTTCGCACTCGCAGCTCCAGGATTGCAGTGCATCCCAGCTCTCAGATGGATCCCGGCCTTTTGGGTGCAGGTATGCAAATGAAAGGCAACCAATTCGCAGAAGCACTCAGTGTACAGTGTACTTTGCAGTGCTTGTTGAGATTACAAGTGACCTTGGCTGCATCTGCCATCACTTCTATGTGGCTGATCAAAGTGCCTAAGAGAAGTCAATTGAAACAAACAGGCGAAAGTGTCTGCAAAGACTATTCCCAGAGTCATAATATGAGATCCAAAAGAATTAAAAAAACTGTAAACATCAAACACTTCCTAAGGTCGTGCCTACGCCCCATGATCATACTGAGGCATGCACCATCGGTTTCCAAGATGTTGAAAGTGACAACAGGCCCCTGGACAAGTCTCCCATCATCAAGTCCACGGTCACGGCTGTACATGGCGATGACCTCAGAGACAAGTCAATATGAGTCAATATGACTTTCATCCTGAGGTCGTTTTGGGCTGAAAGGCCGCAGGCCTGCTCGCCGTTCGAGTGCTTGAGATCCAAAAGCAAGTGATGCAGCTCGCTGGCCAGAGAACTTGTGTGCTTCTCGATGGCCACCATACCACCCACCTTTTCCAGTGCAGTGAAGCCATGCTTCAAGGCAGCAATACCGAGGAAGGCCACAGTGCCATCCTGCTCTGTCCATCACAGGTCCGCACTGTGGCAAACGAGCAGCAAGCGTTACTAGCAAAGTGTAATCAGGCCCATGGCAGATTGTGCCAAATGATATTAGAGTGAATCTAGCATCCAAACTTCAAACCCCCCTCGTGCAATGCGCAATGCCCCACCTCAAATTTCTCTGCGATTCTCCCCTTGAACACTTTCACATCATCGCTGGCAGTACGCCCTGCTCCAGCAATGGAGACAGTCCCCCCTCCCCAGTAGTGCTTCTTCAGTTCTGAAGCTGTGGCTGAGCGAATTACCAGAGCCCCAACCCCAGTGGGGTATCCAAAGAGCTTGTAGAAAGAGAGCGTCACAAAATCTGGCTGAGCTTCAGTAAGATTCAGTGGATGACTCGCTGTAAATTTGGCTGCATCCATCAGGACGCGCCAGTTCTTCAGCCTGCCTTGTGGCAACATATGAGCGACGCTGTTTATTTGTTATGTGGGCCTTGCACATTTCAATTTGATGAGTGTATTATCGTTTTCCACGTTTTGAACCTTACTTAGGTTAAAGGTTGTTTTCACAGTGCAGCAGACTGTTTGGACATGGAAGCAGACGTGCGACGGTCAAAACTCCTTCTGTGTGGTAAGGTCATGGGTATCGCCTTCTATGGTGGCATCGCTACACACAGCCCCAGCATTGTTTTTGACTTGTCGCCGTTTGGTGGGGGCAGTAGTAGCAGTAGCAGTAGGAGTAGAAGTGGTAGCAGCAGGAGTGCTAGTAGTAGTAGTAGTAGTAGTAGTAGTAGTAGTAGTAGGAGTAGCAGTAGCAGTAGCAGTAGCAGGAGTAGTAGTAGTAGTAGTAGTAGTGGTAGTGGTAGTAGTAGTGGTAGTAGTTGTTGTTGTTGTAGCAGTGGTGGTAGTGGTAGTGGTAGTAGTGGTAGTAGTAGTAGTAGTAGTAGACCAGCCATGTCTTGAGCTTGTTTGGAAGATATGTTTCAGATACAAGTGGAGCACTGGTTTCGTAGCACAGGTTCGTCTACATTTACGTTATCGTTTGGTTATCGTTTAGGTTATCGTTTGACTACAGCTACATTTCGGACAAACCTGTCGCCAAAGTCCGAAGTCAAATACGGCTTTGGGAAAGGCTACACTAAGCAGAAACGAGGTTCCCTGATGGTCTTCTGGTTAAAAAGCTGTACTGCAGCTATGCAAACTACGCTTTCCTATAATAAAACATGATGCTATCAATATGTTATCGTTTTTTGATGAGTGTATTATCGCTTTCCAAGTAAAATGCAAATTCTGCAATGCCAATGTCGGGTCCTTTACTAAATACCTTTGCGTAAATAAATCAGGTTGCTCATATCAAGGGCCATCACTGCAATCGTTTGAATAGGGTGTCGTTTATGATACCCCAAGCGCCGTTATGGCTTTGGAGGTGTTTCCCATAATGTTGCATCTGCAAAACTGCCTTGTCGACTTGCAATCTTTTGACTCCATCTCAAAGGAAAGATCTGGCCAGCAAAGTTCTCTTCCGCTGGATATGCAAACCTAGCACAGCTGGCGACAGCTTGACCGGGCGGCGTATATGACATACTATGTAAATCATTGTAAATCGGTCCACTTGCTGACTGAAGCACGTGAATAACTTCACTGCAAGATACCAATGTTCCTGGCAAGGCCAAGCAGCAGTGAGAGAGGGCCATCATCTGTGTCAATTTCAGTGGCCAGCCTGGGAGTAGTAAGTAGTTTGTCGCTGTCCCTTCAACAGCCACAGGGATTGAATAAACAACACATGCAGGCAACATGATTACAGAATGATACCACAATCATCCACATCACAATCCACGCGAAAACAACAACTGCAACAATGCCGGACACACGCTTGCCCACCGTTGCCTGTTCCCTCCTTTTCCCATGCATGTTGGAACTTCATGGCGAGGAAAACAACACTGGCCTGTCAAGCCAATCGTCCACCTTCTCGGATTCCACGACAGATGCTTCAACCGAAGTATCTCTTGCAACGTCTCGGATTCCAAGAACAGAGTTGTGGTTCCTGGGTAGAGGCTGAAGCGGTCTGAGATGGAGATGTGGTTCAGCCATGTTGTACAAGTATCGTAAGAACACATCCATGTTCATCCCCATCTCCCACCAGGGCAATAGGATGCAATAGGGAATTCCATGTTCTCTGACGTCTTCGCTGTTCTTTGCACAAAAGATTGAGAAGTCGAACAAGTCGCCTCAACTCAAGAATTCATTACGATTGTATAACCGTCTTAAATCTATTGGCTCCCTACAATCTTCAGACGCATAAGATGCTAGCTTCGATTGTGGAACGCCAAGATTCTGTAGCAAGTATTTGTACTCCGAGCGATTTGCGGTCCAAGGGAACCTCTGATCCAAGGCTGGTGAACATTGATGAAAATTGTCCAGTTCGGTTTGATATTTCGGGAATTTCACCAGTGAAGAAATGGGACACCTTGAGACAGAATTGCTTGTCTCGAATTTGAGCATAGTTTACTGAGTTCTGCACATAGAAACTCTGTATCACTCTGTATACGTTCCAACCATTGCTCACCCAGGTGCAATTGCAGACTCAATAAATCTCACTGTGTAAACAACTGAGTTTAGACCAAGAATGCTTCCAAGGCACATATCAGCAATCAAATGCAACGAGTCTGTGCAAGATCTGGTGAAGACCTGGAGGCTGCGATGCATCGCATCCTCTGTCTCCAAAACTCCAAGTGTTGCCTCTTGTCCCACTGTTTGCATGTGCATAGCACCCCATCGTCAACTATGTTGTATGAATGCCATTCCTATTTCTTGCAACTGCTACACTTTCTTGTGCACAGGAAACCCCTTTACTGCCTATCATGTGCATGTAGTGAACAGATTTGGAGACTGTGTAGAGTGTCACTAGGTGCATGATGGTGCATGCCGCTCCTTGTATCTCGATCTTCTGTGCCGAGATGCTACTTCGTACTCGGGCTCTGAAGAAGTTTTCGGAACTCCCAAGAATTCGAGAACTGCCTCCCTGGCAGCTTCCACTGAATCAGAGCTGCGTTGTGCTGACGAGCCTTGACGATGCTTCGGTTATCAAGTTCCCCGACACAATGGAAAGAGACGCAAGAGTTTCATGCAGTTGTCCTGCGGTTAAACGTGTCTAGAACCACACTGACTTGCCGAGAGACTCAGAGAATGCGGGTTGCCATAGAGTTGTTCCTTTAGATCTTCGGCGTGCGCATCTATCTGCGTGTTGGTGTAGAGTCCCGCAGCAGCATAGTCCAGGTACACATCACCCTTTAGACGTTGGCCCAACTCTCCTCAAACGTCAAGTACATCGAGGTACATGTTCTGTATGAAAACATCCTTGTAGGTGTGCTTAGCAATCAGTACCGGTCTCAGACCCGGCTTGACAAGCTCGATTCTCGACTCTTGATTCTCCATCCTGGATCCTCGATTGCTATGATTACTACTACTACTACTACTACTACTACTACTACGACTACGACTACCACTACCACTACCACTACGACTACGACTACGACTACTACTACTACTACTACTACTACGACTACCACTACCACTACCACTACGACTACTACTACGACTACGACTACCACTACCACTTCCACTAGCACTAACTAGCACTAGCACTACGACTACGACTGCGACTACTACCTACCTACCTACCTATCTACCTACCTACCTACCTACCTACTTATTTACTACTTACTACTTACTACTTACTACTTACTTCTTACTTCTTACTTCTTACTACTACTCGATCCTCGATTCTTCCATTCCGCACACTGTTGTGGGAACACCCTTGTCAAGCTAACCCGTCTGTACTTGGATCTGCTGGGCCAATAATGTGGCCTCCTCATGGCAAACAGTTGAGTACATAGGCACAAAGTGTTCTTGCAAACAAGATAAACAAACATGTAGCCAGGGATGTAAGGACAGTAATGTCCAAAACCTACTGCGAGAGCAGTGGTATGCGTTGTTGCTAGGAATTGTTATGAGTTGTGATGCCTTCCGTGGGAGCAAACCAACGTGGAGACACCATTCAAGCCTTTCGTTGACAAGCAACGATGTACAAAAGCTTCAAAGTTCTGCATACCATAGCCATAAGAGTCGCCATGTTGTGCTAGGAAGTCGCTTTTCTCGCCCACAACATCATTCAACTCGGCATGGTTGGCTTTCAGGCTTGTTGCCAAAGCAAGCTCAGGACTTCAGGCGTCAAGACAATTACGACAGCAAAGTCTTACAAGGTCAGTTGTCATCTTCTATCTCAGCTAAATTCCTCCCTCCTGGTCCACAGCTGCGCAAAACCCTAACATCCCTCAGGCCTCAGGATATATATATATACTGTACATATGCTACATACTAACAAGACATCTCAAGACCGACCCAACACGTGGGCAAGGCCTGAGCAGCAAACGCAAATGCAACTGAGATACAAAGCTCAGCAGCCAAAGGTACATTGGAACCATGGCTACGACGACGAGTAGCGAAAAGGCTCCTAGTAGCGTTCTTGTTCCTAGTAGTATGGAAAGGAGCCCCTAGTAGCGTCCTTGCTCCTAGAAGCGAGGCCAGGAGCCCCTAGTAGCGAACATTGTTCCTAATAAATCAAAAGGAACAAAAGCTCGAAAGCATTGAAGGGCTCGGACCTGGGTTCAACAAAGAAGGGGAGAATTATAAACCAACCTTTCTCACGTGTTCTAGTTGTTCCTTTCAACGAACACTGACTTGAGTCCAAGTCCAAAAAGTGGAACAAACGTTGTCTTGCTGATTTGCTGATCAAATGCACAGGCTACAAAGCGGACATTATTGCCGATTAAATGTTCATCTCGTATATTTCAACCATCCTCATCCTCCGTGTCTTCCATGTTCCAGCTTTGATGTCATTTCCCAATCAGGCCAGCTTCACATCACCAGCAAAGTGACGGATGCCAAACTTGACTCCACCCGAGATTTTCGGAACAATGAGCCTGAGATTCAGGGTCTACGACCAGTCTACGAAGCACTAAAAAGGAGGAGTTGGTCTCTCCGAGGCTTGCCAAATCCTGCCATCTACAATCTGTATTGGTTTGCCGAAAGGTGAGCAAAGGTGGTGACCACACTGTGTGATCTACAGGTTCAAACTAACATGGTTTGTGTAACTCTGTTGCCAGGCCTTGCATGCTTCTCATGGGCTTTGAACACCTGCCCCGCACGTTGAGCCACATACTCTATCTTCCAAGATATACGTCAAGCGTGCAATACTCAGCCGTAATCACTTAGAGCGCTTGAATCATGGAATCATCAAGTCCTGGGGATTGTGAAGAATGTTCTATTTAAAAGAATAAAACTGCCCATAATCGTTCGTCAACGTGCGCCAATAAGACCCTGCTTTGTCCTTCACACACATCTCAGAATGAGAGAAACATGACATGGGACACACTTGTGACAATCAAATAAAACACAACCTATTTCGCAATTCTGGTGCCACAAGTCATGCATACCAGATGCTGGGAAAATCAGTTTGTGCCACACAAAAGCGGGGAGGGCACGCCAAAACAAATAAACCCCACAAATATCTGCAAAATACATCCTACCTTTGGCAGGGTATCTGCTTGGTCACTTTGATTGGGGAAATCATCGCATACTGCAATTACAGTTTCTATGTAGAGACACATATAATATACTATAACTATATCGCATACACCGTATACATCCATATACTATACATATGTACCTCGATATGTACCTCGTTGATGTGCGAAACACACAGTTGGAAGCATCAAATACCCTGAAAGAGCAAAAACGAGACGGATATGTCTATTGAGTTACAATGAATCCATACCGCTGCAAGTTGCCTTGTTCAAGAAGGTCTGGTCGCTTGCCTCACACAGCAGGTTGTCAAGGAGGTTTCTATTCAATTCAACAATACCTATCCATCCGGGTCATGCGGTTAAGGATTTTTTGTGAAGAACAATTCCAAAAATGCAAACAGCAGAGAGAATCTTCAACAGCTGCCAAGTCGGTGGAACCAAGAATATGGTGGAAGGAAACTTCAGCTTCATAGCATGTGGACAAAAGCAGTGACCAAGAATGCTCAAACACATGGAGGATCTAGTCTAGAACCGTTCCTCAGCTATGTGTGGGCTGTCTTTTTACAGAAAAAACAAATAGTTGTAGCAAAAATATATATATATATATAATGTGTATATAATATATATATATGTATATAATACATATATATAGTAATAACAAAGAATAGCCAGGCCCAGGCACCTTTTTGTCGTTCGCTCTGCAACCGGATTGTCAAGAAAAACAAATAGTAATAGTAGTAGTAGTAGTAGTAGTTGTTGTTTGCCACACTGCAGTAGTCGTTCGCGGACTTGCTGCAGCTCCTCGCGGCTAAGCCGGGGAAAGGTTGGATTCAGTTGGCCGGGTACCTCCTTCGGAGGATGGCCGCACGAACTGAGGCAAGTTCGTGTGCGAGGGTTTCGGTGCGTTCACCCCACGGCCATGCAAGCTTATCAAGAAAAACAAAAAAGAACTCGGGAAATCCCGGGAACAACACTCCAAAAATGCCGGGCTGATTGTCCCCCCCCTTCCCGGTCCACTAGACATGGAAGGGGACGTTCCGGACAATCAAGTTCCCCCTTGACCAGGTGGACCCCCCAAACCCTGGCAAGGCCCCGAGGAACTTATGGAACGGTCCATTGAGGCATGGCCGCACAAGGTCGAAGGTCGTTACCAAGATCACCAGCAACTGAAACCGGGAGGTTGGGGATTGTCTGCGCGACCATCTTCAATCTGCCAAAAAAAGAAACAATCTCTGTTCATGAGAAACGTCCTTTTTATCATGTGAATTGTCCCTTTTTTTCCTGTGTGAAAACAAGAGTTTGGGTATTACAGTGTGTTGTTGTCTGAGGATATCTTTCTTGATTCCCTA